AGACACAACAACGGCATTAAATAAACACATGAAAAATGTTCACAATAGAACGATCAAGGTAAGCAAATGAAGATGACAGCATGTATTAACTGTTGTGTTAGAAAAAGAAAAAATTCAATGATGGCAAAATTTGGTACAAAGAACTGTTCTAGTATGTTGCAGATGGTACCGAGGAAAGTCATTTTTAAATCTGTGAAGGACTATAAGGATGTTCATGTACTGTGAAGTAGTAACCCAAACTCCAGATACTAGCTTCGTCAATAAGTGTTTCAGGTAATTGTTTTCATGAGCTAATTCAAAATGAGAAAAAAAATCTATAGATATTCAAAATGTTCCAGATAATTATTTTATAATTTTAAGACATTGAAAACAACCTGATTATTCAACAATTTAGGATTGATTACACAAATTAGTATACAATAAACAGATGAAATATTATATAGCCATTAAAATTAGAATTACTGAGGAAGCCTGCATGAAAATTATTTATCAAATAATGCTTAGTGTATCAAGGTACAAAAGCTCATTTGCATAGTTATTATAACCATGCCAGAAATAATCTCTACACCTATATAAAAAGCCAACAGGAAATTGGAGCAATGAGGTGGTAGAAACAAGGCTATTTTCTCTTGGGTTTAATTTTCTGTAATATTGTTTTTACAATAAACAATTATTTTTTCTCCCAAAACATCACACGTATTTATCTACCTTTTATACTGTATTTTGATTGCGCCTCTACAGCCACCTCTCTAGTTCAAACACACATTTTAATTTCTGGATGACCACCTCACTCGGTTACTCTCCAACTCATCTAGCTTTCAAATGCTGCCAAGTTGCTTAAAATGACACATTTATCAAGTCACTTACCTGATTGTCAATAATTTTTAATTTGAATTTATTTTTTGTTTGAAAGTTTCATATGTTTATAATGAATTTTCGTCATTTTCAAGCCTCATTCTCCTCTTTTATACCGCATCTGAATTTATTCTCAATTGATATATAAGTACAACTTTACAAGTACATGAATATATAATGTATTTATATAAATTAAAGTAAATTATATGTATAAAATATGTTATATATACATATAATCCTAAAATTATAAGTGGGGCATCAGATATTGACTGACACATGTAGACAATGATCAACCTGAGTAAACACCTCTCTCTCTCTCTAATATTTATTATTTATTTATGGCAAAGTGTTCACAACCCCCTTCTGGCCTTTTCAAGTGTACAGTCATCACTGCGATCTGTAGTCACCACATCATGTACCATGCATCAGAGCTTCGTGTTTCTGTCTAACTGGAACTTAGTACTCCCTGGTGACAGGTGAACACGATTTTGCTCCCATGTTTGTCACCCATTCTCATTCTCCAGGCCTACCCATCCTGGACTAAAGTATCATTAGTTATCCTTCTCTACCCTGTCTGCTGAGTGTACTCCAAGTCTTCTCCTCAGCACCACATCTAAAACTTACAGTGTTCAGCTGTGCTTGCAAGGGTTCCTCTCCATTTAGTCATTTGATTCTCACAAGAATTTGCTGGTGCTGCTCTAACCCTCCCTTACAAATAAGAAGAGATAAAGACAGGTGCAGAGATAAGAGATGAGAAGGAAGAGTCGGTAAAGGAGAGGGAAGACGAGGAAGCACACGAACATGGATCTTGACTGAGGCAGTATTAACTCCAAGGCTTTATTTAGTAACAGCATTGATTACTCTAAGACATCTTGCTTAGTTTCTTCTCCTTCCACTTTCGGCCTGCAGTTTTCTTATCCTTCCATGAACTTATCCAAAATGCAATAAATACTTATCATGTAGCGGGACCTGGTTTAAGGTGGTCCTTGTTTAAGCTTCATGTTCTTTTGGAAACTTTCGTAAGGAAAAGCTGGCTTAAAATCTGAGCCCTTACCAGCCAGGAGACCTTGGGTGGAGAACTCACCCTCTCTAAATTTCAAATCCTTCCTCCGAGTTAGCAGTTCTCAATGTGTGGTCCCAGGACCAGTTGTGCCAGCATCATCCAAGGAGCCAGTTAGAAATCTATGCTGATTTTGAGCCCTACTTTGCACATATGAAATTCGATCGGGGCGGGGGGGGGGGCAGAGTCCAGCAGACTCGTGTTTCAACAAGTTCTCCAGTGTTTCGGCTCCATACTCATCTCTGAGATTCAATACCCTGGGCTAATGCCTACCTGCTGGAACTCTTAGGAAGTTCTGCCATAACTTGTGCAACTCAACTCATAGCACATAGGTTGTTTTGCAAGTAATAATGTGTTATTACTGCTGCTGAACTCGGTGTGGGCTACTATTTTCTGCTCGAGCTGTGGGCAGACACTGCTTCTCGCTGATCTCTTACTAGAATCTCCCACCTTGCTAGGCAAAAGGCAGTGCACACGCTAAGCTTTTAGTAAGACTCTCTTACTTCACTGATGAGTGAGTAGGAGAAGCACTTTGGAGCCTGGTGAGGTGTACAATACTGTTTCTGAAGCAAGACTTCTTGGGGCTAATTAACTCACCAGCTGAGAGGCTTTAGGCAAATGAATGTGTTTGTGTGGACCTCAATTGCTTCTCTGTATTAAACAGAGAAGAAACTACACCTACGCTGATTATACCTACTCTACAACCTCACAGTGATAAATACAGGCTTATAAAAATGCATCCCTTGGTGGCTACAACATGTAACTGAGTTATTTACTGCCTCGGGGTATTGTGCTATGGTGAAGTACTTGCTTAGTGTGCAAAAGACCATAGATTCCTTCCCTAGTGTTGAAGAAAATAAAAAGAAAGAAAACCCAGGAAATTGTTAGCATTATTGTTTTCATGTCTTTTTACTCATGCAGTGGTGAACAGGTTCTATCTCCTCTTTTGGCAAACAGATGACAAATACCACTTGAAAGGCCTCTCCGTGTTAAGCACATAGAATAAGGCTATGCTCAAGGTTTGGTATCTTTTTTAACTGTCTCAATCTAATAACATATGAAATTTGACAGTGTCATTAGATTAAAATAATATCCCTAAGGACATAATATAAAGCAGCCCAGAACTTGCGGTGGGAGATGGAGAGGGGAATCAAGTCTAGCCATGGAATCCTGCAGAATCTCTGCCTAGGACTTAGACTCTTGAAACACTATGTTGAGGATCTATTTGCAGACTGTCCTTTATGAATTCCAATGGAAGCAGGTGAAATGTGGAATGAGGGAAGGTGCAGGAACTTTGGGGTCAGGTTGTCTGAAATCCAACACGACCATTTGCTGTGACCTAGCTGAATTATATAACGTCTCTGGACCTCTCCTATAAACTAGGCAGCACACGAGAACTACTCTGGAGAGTAAACACAATTTTGAATGTAGAATCCTGATATGGATAATTAGAGATGATTAATAAATATTGGGCATCATCCCCTTTCCCATTGCAGGGTGGAAATGAGTAATTTTTCCATACTTTGGGATCAAAGAAAAGCCAAAATAATTCCTAACTATACTATCAAACCATGGGCCCAGTATTTAGAATACAGTAAGGAATTTCGCCAGTCAAACAGAGTGGCTTTTCCTCTAAGTAGTTAGTTTCCTGTAAGTAGTAGGTCTTCCTCTAAGATCCACAACCGGGTAGTTGACTAGGTTTCCAGTACGAGGTCTGATTTCCTCTTGTTGAGTTGGCCTTAGGTCCAATGAGACAGCTGTTGGTTATGACCACAGCTAACTGTATCTCTTATCCCTCATCAAAGAAGCTTCTAATCAGTGTACTCTAGGGAGGAACCCCTAATTGGTTAACCAGTTCAAAGTGGTCATGCCTAAAGTAACATACATGCAAGCGACGCTAAATGGAGTCAGCAAGTTGCAGTTAAACACTTATGTGTACACACATAAACGTATGTGTGTGTCTATGTATGTGACAATAACAACCAAAGAAAAATGGGCCATAAATTTGAGAGAGAATGTATGTGTGTGTATGTGTTTGAGAGAGAGAGAGAGAAGAGAAGAGAAGAGAAGAGAAGAGAAGAGAAGAGAAGAGAAGAGAAGAGAAGAGAAGAGAAGAGAAGAATAATCAAAGAAAAATAAGCCTTAAATTTGAGAGAGAAAAAGTAGAGGGCATCGGAGGAGCTGGGGGGAGAGGACATGGAGGAGCTAGAGGAAAGGAAGGGAAAGGCGGAATGACCTAATTATATTTGAATTAAAAATAATGGAGCATAATGTAGACCACCTAAAAGAACTCTGGACTATTTAAGCCTTTCTGTCTTCTGCTTTATTCTGGAGTTGGTAACGGGCTTCAAAATCATTGAGAACCCTCTTTCCTATATGGCTGAGACAGCATATCAAAATGTACAAAAAAGAGATCTGACTAGGCAAACAGCAACCCAGAAGTGACTAGCCAAATCTCTGGTTCTCTTAGAGTCACCATTTAGGGCACCTCATCTCTAGGGAACATGAGTGCCGGGTACTGCGATCCACAATTAGAGGAGCTCAGGGTTCCACCCCTGAGCAAAGCGGTTCTTTTTATATTATTCCAAGTTGTATGTGCCTTTCTCCAGCAGTTGTAACCCATGAGCGTATTTTCATGGCCCGTAAGTTCTCAAGGAGTCCTACTAAAAGTGTGGTGGCAGAATCCAAGAAGCAGGTGCCTCCAACAACCTTGGACAAAGAGAACAGACACTCCTCTCTGTTGACTCCAACCGCTCATGGCCACAGTTTGTGCCTTCTCGCTCATTTCAGCACAGTCTCATTCTCTGTGGCCTTGGGTATAACTAGACGGTATAACTGCCTCCCTCAGACAGACATACCCTCACAACACTATTTTAAAATGTCCTCACAATCTATCGGCTCTATATTCAGATGGTGACGTAGGGAGGTCATTGGATTATAATTATAGAAACAAGTCCTTGGTGTGAATAGCAAACCAATTCTGTTAAATAAAAAAAAAAAAAAACAAGCAAACCAAAAGCCATAGCCATTTCTAAAGAAGTTTCTGACGCACCCAATCACGCAGCCTGCCAGAGCCGTCACTTACCTCCCTGAATGGCTAGTTTTCCTGTTGCCGGCTATTGGCTTCCACTTGTCCCCAGGAAATTCCTGCAAAAGAAAATCTGGTAAGTTAGGCAACTTTGAATGTCCAGGTCTCCAGGTAGTTTTCCAAACAGCAGCCTGGCCCAGGTTCCTTGGCTGGTAGCGTGGACACCCCCAGACAGTCTACAGCCATGTGCACTTGGGAGGCTGCTGAGCCATGGCACTCATGCAGATATCCAGAAAGCGCTCAGGGACCTGGACACAGTGGGCTAAAAATATTCTATTTCCCTCTTGCTCCACACCCCTCCCAAACCACGCCAAAAACTAGTTTAGCATGTTAGCTGTTTGCTCTAGCTCTTGCTTGCACTGGGGGTTGGAGATCTTTTGTTTATCCTACCGGATGAACCTGGCCATCGTTCCTGCTTTTTCAAATTTAGAAAGCATCTTCTTGGAAGCACCGACATCAAGGAGGTTTGGAGGGTCCTGCTGCAGAATCTCTCTCCCAGGGTGGGAAAAGGTGGAACAGAGATGCCAGCTACCCTCATCCTGCAGTTGTTCTTACGCCCTCTGCCCACATATTCAGACAAGGGTTGACATGGGCTCATCTCTGGGAGGTGGAGTATTGGGTGCCCTGGTTCATACATTATACAAGTAGATTGTCTATCTTGGATGTAGTTTCCTGAATTGCTCAGCCATATATGCCTTTTGTAAAAATTTCCCTTTCTTACTAGAGCCCGAACCTGAATGCATGCTTGCTTTTCAGATTTCTCCTGGTTTTGCATTTAGCACCCTCTACCTGGAGACTCAGTCCAAGAGAAGGCACTGATCTTCTAAATTCACTTTGCTCCAATACTGCTATTATTAGTCTTTTCCGGGGTTTATTGCCTTAGCCCTAGCAGGCCTCTTTTGGGGCCCAACACCTGGTGAAGCAGAATGACACAGGTCTCTGGTGTCAGTTATACAGGCTAAGACATTTATTATCTGTGCTACGTGAGGGACATTCTGTCAAACCACTTCGAACCTCAGTTTGCTATCTGGCAAATAAAGATAGTCAGCGAGGATCAAACAAGATGGGTAGAGAATGTCCAGAAGAGTGCATGGTAGCTAGAAGGTTCTGAGGTCACAGCACTGGGGAGTCTGTTGCAGTAAGACCACCTGAGAGGACAAGCCCAGCCTGAATACCACAGGATCTACCTCTGGGTGTTAACAAGGAAAAGGTGGGGAGAACATTCTGATTCCAGCTTTCACAAAACTAGAGAGCATTCTCTGTTTGGGATAGAGCAGAGCACATTGAACAATCTTTATTTCAGACTCTTTCTGCCTTGGCATGTTTGTGAGCTGTCACTGTCCACAAAGGCACCATAACATGTTGAGCTACAGCATGAGCCAGGATTCCCTGTCCATGAGATGTCTAGACCTGTGGAAGAGCTTAGAAAACAGCAGTGGGTAAACCAGGCCGAGCCCTCCACCCACTCCCACTGACCATTTGAGAGTCTCAGTATTACTTTATTCTTTTGCCTGAGCCACTTAGTATCCTAAAACTGTTCTGTGCTCTTTGAACCCAAGGAGCCATACTCACAGTGGGTAGAGCAGTTGAAGATTATAGGAGAACTGGCTGTCTTGGTGAAAGTGATATTGCTAGCAGCCATCCCGTCTGTTACATGGGAGAAGGCCTAGGCTTTGCAATCTACTTATGGAGAGGCAAGTAGCACACACTCCAGAACACAGCTACAGCTAGAAATAGAGCTTCACTTTCCACATCTACCCTTCAGCAAGTGGATGGCCCACACTCCCTTTTAACTCTGTTATAATATAAACACACATATGTTATACACAATAAACATAAATGCTATACATATGTGCATATGTATATATTGATACTACATGTTAAACCCATATATATATTAACATTTTTAAACATTATACCATGAATATATGGTACTTGCAATATGGTAGCGTATTTATGACCAGGGTACCTATTTCTTGATTGCTAGAAGACTTAATATATTGATACATTTAAAGCAGCTTGAATCTAGTGGACAGACATATACACGTTATTTTCATGGTGTTCAGGTCCTGGCTCTGCACCTTGTGAGCTGTGTGACCTCTCTGAGACTCAGTTTCCTCACCAGTTTCCTGTGAGTGTTAAGTGAAATCATCTGGCAATATATGTAAAACTAACTGGCCTAAACATGTGTGCTTGTAAGTAGATGCTGATTTCACCTGTCTAGATATCACCGAGCCAGAGCTAGTTAGTTCCCCAACCTTCTTCATGGCAGAAAGAGCTGGCTGGCTCCCAGCCTTTCTTCAGACAGTCACCACAGCAACTACCTTAGTTGCCAGAGCTAGAGTGTCTAAACCTATGCTATACGTCTCACAGGGTCAAAAATACAGGATTCCAGTAACAAGGGTAGAAATGGCATACCCCTATATATATTGTCATCCATGTACCTGAAAGCCTAGTGTCTAAGCAGATATACTTAGTCAGTCTAACAGGCACTAGGAACACAATGTGTCCCTCCAAGTACAAAAGGAGAGGGATGACATAGGCACAGCTTGCCTATATTGCTACAGCCAACTGCTGCTACCTGTCAAATAAACTTCCTTCTCTTCCGGAGACTCTGGTCCAGAGATGACAGCCCTGTACTCATTCTCTCCCTTCTTTCCATTCACCTTCAACCCCCTTTCCTTATTACTTGCTATGAGTACTTCTTTCAGCCAAGATTCTCAAGCTAAGCCAAATTTCCCTTCATCTTAAAATAGCTTACTTATAAGATGATTACTGCCTGGCAGTCACTGTTATAAAGGCCTTGCACATGTTTGCCATTTAATCCACCTTAACGAAGCAGGTGCTGTTATTACCTTCATTTTTCAGACGGGAAAGATTAGGCACTATAAATTCTGGGGAAAGAATTTAAACCCAGTTAGTCTAGTTTCAGCTTCAATGCCTTCTGGGCATTATCTATGTTTTCTTTTCTCTTTTTTCAGCACTGGGAATATTTCCAAACATACCAAAAAGATGGAAGCATTTACCGTGAGCATCCATGGGTCCTATCGAGATGCTACAATGCTACAATTGACATTTTTGCTATATTCACCTTATCATGGACCTGTTTCCTCCTCTAATCATCAACCGGTACAGCTTAAATTCTGACATGCCCTTCAGAGTGGGTCCCAATGATTTTATCTGCATAAATGTAAAAATGTAAATGACATAAAGGGATTCCTTAAAAGCCACAATCTACCAAAGCTCACTCAAGAAGAAACAGATAATCTCCATAACTTGTTTCTATCAGGGAAATTAATGTGCAGTTTCAAACATTCTCACACAAAAAAATTCAGGTCCAAATGGTTTTAGTAATTTTTTTATTGTTTTGGTTTTTCAAGATAGGGTTTCTTTCTAGTTTTGGAGCCTATCCTGAAACTAGCTCTCGTAGACCAGCCTGGCCTCGAACTCACAGAGATCCGCCTGCCTCTGCCTCCTGAGTGCTGGGATTAAAGGCGTGCGCCACCACCGCCTGGCTCAGTGATAAATTTTACTACATGCTTAAAGAAGAAAAAGACAGCAGTGCTGTACAAATTCTTCCTGAAAAATAGAAGAGACGGGACTGCTTCCCACCTCATTTAGCTAGCATTACTTACTTAGAAAAAAAAAAAACAAAGATTTTATAATACAGACTAAAATCTGTATTAAATGTAGATTCAAAGGACCTTAATAAAATGCTAATAAGTCAGATCTAGCAGCATAAAAAGTTACTACATTATGATCAAGTGGGGTTTATCCTGGAAATGCTAGGTGGATACTTATTTCAAAATCCAACCAGTATAAAAAAAAATTAAGACTATAGGGGCACCTTAATAGAAATAGGAAAACATTTGAAAGAATCCAAAATTCCTTCTTAAATTAAAAAAAGAGCTCCTTTGAAGCTAAGACTAAAAGGGCATTTCTCCCCAAGATTAAGAACAACTGTAAAACAACAATCACTAGAAGATCTTAGCCACCAAATGTCACAGGGAAACACTGTTGCTCTCAACATTCCTTCTGAACAGGGAATTGGGGGGATCCCAGGAAAAGCAACAATCATACAGAACATGAAAAAGATACAAAATTCCTTCTATTCCAAGATGATGCAACCTCCTATGTCCAAAATCTTTTATAATCTACCAATGAGGTACTAGAATTCATCAGTGAGTTTGGCAATGCTATAGGATATGAAGCCAATATACAAAGTTCAACTGTATATGAAGAAATAGCAATGGACTTCAAGTTAATATTCAGAAAACAATATTGTTTACTATAGCTTCAAAGCCTATTGGAACTGTAGGTATATGTAACCCAAAATATGTGTAAGACGCATAGGCGGGAAATGACAATAATTTGTACACGTGAGTATACTTCAAGAATACTTCTGCATGCATATTCAAGTTGATCATTTGCTTATACAATTTTAGGCAAAGTGTGTTTCCTATGACATGTATAAATATTAATGTACATTTGTTGGTTGTTAACACACTCGTGTAAATCTAATCTATATCAAGCTCTTAATGTGCTTTCATGCCCTGTTCCCTTCAACTTCCGTGCAAACACTGTTCTCCACCTTTGCTTCCAACAGAAGAGCCATGCTCTCCATTCCTCTGATGATGGACAGACATCTAGGCTGGTTCTAGTCCTCAACTGTTGTAAGTATGGTAATTATAACAACGGGTATGCAAGTGTATCTGTGGAAGGACCTGAAGTTCTCTGGATACTATACACACTATAATTTTATTTATTCATAAAGAAAAGAATAAATAATGACATTTTCAGAAAATGGGTACAACTAAAAATATTATATCAAGCAAAATAAGCCAGATGCAAGAAGACAGTACTTTTTATCTTTTATGTGGATCCTACCTTTTAATTTTTATTAGTACTAGCTGTTTTATAAGTGAATGTATTTTTCCCTTTAAAAATGACATAACCTCACATTATAATCAGTTCATGGTTTACTTAAGGTCACTCAGATATTAATTTTAAAGTTAGAACAAATTCCAGTCTTGTTCATTTTAAGGAGCAAAACTTTCTTTCCCCAACCTGTAAAGCTGCACAGGTATACTGCAATCTTGGTGACTGAGTGTAGAGCCGGGGCTACATCATTGCAATGCATTGTGATTACATTTTAATTGCAATGCATTGTGATTACATTTGAAAATAATGACTCTCACTCCCCCACGAACCAAGTCCTCACCTGTATTGCTGACTTCCTGGATTTCCAAGCACTGCCAGGTGCCAGGCTGCTGTCCTCAAGGGCACCATGCTGAGGATTATGATAGCAAGCTGTACACCGAATGCATTGGTGGTGGTGACACCTACAGTTGAGGCAATTTGGCAACAAATTTCTCTTTAGCAATGCAGGGCAGATTTCTCCAGAACAATAAATGCAAGGATCATGCATTACAGTTCCCTGAGCACTGCAGGAATAGGAACAGGTCCTGTGGTAATCGAAATCCCCACAGTGCAGTGGCTTACAGCACAGGGAATTTTCTAGGCCTTTGGTAGCAAAGCATTCTGGGTAAGTGGGAGTTTCTGACTGAAGTGGTGACATGGAATGATACGATTGGTCTGTGGCATGGTATGGTTGGTCTGTGGAATGATATGATTGGTCCAGGGGATGGCATCTCAATTCCCTATAGCTCACTGACTGGAAGTTTTGGTCGATAGGCTTTGGTCTCTGGGTAAAAGGCTTGTTGCTATGAGTGGTTAAGCCTGGCAAATGAGATGTAGACAAGGATTTACTGCTCTCTTCAAAGAACTTTCTTCTGTCTGCAAACGGCAAGAGAATGGCTTCTTCCCCAGCTTGAGCAGGAGATGTCTTCAGTTCCTTGCTGTCATCTGGGCTGGAAGGACCTTCTGTGGATAGTGGCACATGAGGCTGCGGGTTATATTCTGGCGACCATCTCCATTGACCTCCACAGACCCCATGGGGAGCATTTGCTTTGTCATTGTCTAAGGAGGGTGAGTCAGATGCCTTCCACCAGGTGTTCAGGCTCAAAGAAGACTGGCCGGACCTCTGGCCAGGGCTTAGCCTTCCCTCTAAGCCTACTCTAGCTTTGGAGCTCTCTGAGGCTTGGCTGAGGCATTCTGAAGACCTAGCCCTGAGAATCATGCTTTTATTGAAGAGCTTGTCTCCCGGGCTAGGGACTTCTTTATATGAAGACAGGAGAGCCGAGTTAGAAGCAGGGAGTGGGGGGCTTTCTGGAGGCTCTTGGGTCTCTTGAACTGGCTCCTTAGTGTCACACACCTGTGACAATGGACCCTTACTTTTCTGGAGCTGGGCTTTCCTCCTCTGAATTTCATTTCGAAGATTGGTAGCAAACCTATCGCTCTTCCGCCGGTTTTGGATGGAGCGTCCCCGGGGACCTCCACTCCTTTTGCCACCTAATCGGCCACCTTCCTTGGGTTCACTGTCACCTTCTTCAGTTGCTTCTGCGTGACCAGCCACTTTAGAGGTTGAAAAGATGTCTCTGGCTTGTTGAATAGGGGAGCAAGTGGCAGAGGGCTGCTGGCTAGCCAAGTCACTGCCTGCTCTGCTTGCTCGGTTTGGGTCTAAGTAAGTTCGTTCTGGCAGGGGTCCATCGACCTCTCCAAGTGGGGAACCACTTTGGCTCTGGTACATGGGACCCATCGCCTTATCATCTATGGGCCTGGCCTTCCTTTCTTTGATAGGCTGGTCCTGAGGGTCTCCTGTACGGAGACCTGGACTTTTCTTTCCCTTAGGGTCATTGTGCAAAGGGGACACCGTCCACTGGTGCCCATCATGCCCAGCTGGCAACTCCATCCCCTTGCCACCTCTGGAATCCACGCGCATGCGCTGCAACTGGGATGCCAGCAGCTGTTCCGGAGCACTATGGCGATGCTCTGTGCTTCCTCGGAGGTGTGGGATGGCACCAAAGGACAAAGGGTTAGCCAAATCTGTTGAAGTTTCCTTGAGCAGGCTGAACTCTCTGCTAGAATCCTTGTCATGGGTTTTTGGGGAATCAAACGCTTTGGAGGAGCCCTCTATCAGTAGATGCTCAGAGTCCTCCTGGCTGGATTCAGAAGGCTGGCTGAGCTCACAGTTCTGGTGGCCCTCGCCTGTCACTTGGTCTTGCCCACTTATGCAGCAGAATTGGTTAGGGCTCCTTGGAGGCAGCAGTGTCTCTAAGCCTTGTTTCTCCTTCTGTTGCAAGGAGTCCATAGGTTCAGACGCACGGCGCTGCTCTCCATTGAGGAGCTGAGCTCTAGAGGCCCGAAGGCTGTCCCGCCTCACAGGAGGCTCTGGTGGACCTTGTACCATCCTGGCAGGTCCTGAGTGTTGACCCTCCTCTGGACAGGATGACTCTTGGGAAGTGGAGGTCCCACGGTCCCCACTGGTACTGTGGCTACTTTCTGAGGTCTCACATACATTAGCTCGGCCATCGGTGGCTTTAGTTGGCCCTGGGCCTGGCATGACACAGTCTGTGGCGGGTGGTTCCTCTGGCCTAAGGGAAAGGGCACAGTCAGAGGCATTTGAGCTGGCTGAGAAGGAGCTGTAGGCCGAGTCACGCTGACTGGGGTACATGTTCTGGTCGATAGGCAAGAGGTGACCCTCATAGGTAGCTTGGCCTGGCTGCTCTAGGCTCTCCATGCTGCCGATGGAGCTGCTTTTCTCAGTGCTGCAGTGCCGGGAGAGGGGGCACCACTGCACACACACGTCACTGGAAGACACAAGGCACATGCATGAGTTAGCCGAAAAATTAGACCCTTTTCTCACCTTGGCCCGTCCACCATGGAAAAGGGCAGGTCAAGTCAGAGACACCCCATGTTACAAATGAAAAGAAAATGAGGCAAAGGGAGAAAGAGAGGAAACGAGTGAGGAGACTGACAGGGATAGCACAGAAACAGGCCGCAATGAGAGACAGGACTGCACAGAGAGCAAGAATGAGCACATATCCCAAAGCCTGGGCAAACGTCATGGGAATTAGGCACAATGTCACTGCTAGCAGCAAGTCTGAAGCTGCTTCTGAGTAGTCTCTGTTGGGTCAGCGTGTGGTTCTCTGCCAGCAGAGACAGTTCAAAGCATCGGCATTAGAGAGGAGCCCTATGGGACTTGATTTGACTTCAGCCCGAGCATTGAGAAGTTTTTTTTTTTTTTTTGTTTTTTTTTTTTTTTTTTTTTTTTTTTTTTTTTTTTTTTTTTTTTTTTTTTTTTTTTTTTTTTTTTTTTTTTTTTTTTTTTTTTTTTTTAACCAACTCTAACTAGTGGCGCAGTCAGGGGTGGAGTTGAAATGTTCCTTTGGTCTGGAGATTCGCTAGCACTTTATTTGTAGGGCTGGAGGTGGGACTGAGAACCTGGAACATACTAGGGAAGGGCTCTGCTATGGGGCTAAGCCTCAGAACCGACGGTTTTTCTTGATAATAGAAATTTTGATTATTTACTGAGGCCTTTTCCAGTCTTCCATCTGAAGCCCAAATGAGATGACTTTCTTTACTTTCTAAGCCATGAAGTAAAGCAAACTGATGATTTCAGCAATCTGCGGAAGAAGCTGAACTACAATGGGAACCCAGGACTCTCTCCACCCAAAGTCTTACCTCCTCTCTGATAACACTTTAAAATGGGAAAAAATAATAAACTCTGTGCAGATGAAATCAGATAAGAAACAAAGGGCCCTTGTCAGAGCCCAGGCATCTACTAAGGCAGGAGCTGCTCTCAGCTGTCATTGTTATCAAGGTCCTTTCTACTGTTAGCCATGATCTATGAGGAGGCTATGCTCGCCCATACTTCCCTTATCTACTAACAGCCAAAGCCCGCCAGGAAGATCGAGGGAAAGATATCATTTTGATTGTTAAGTGCCATTTCCCAAACACATAGCCAGACTGAGCCAAGAAATGCCATTAGCTCTCCTTGACCAGAAGCTTACAGGTTGCAGGTTTGCTCTCAGAAAGACCCTGGCTCAGAAACCAAGCCCCAGCTGAGCTGGGACAGCAGCCCATGAGAGCTCCTGAACAGGTTCCCCTTGTCTTGCTCAATGCATGGCTTTAACCACTTTGCTCAGTTGGTTCTGAGCTAGCAATACATTCATTTCTTGTTGTCAAGGGAACCTGCTATTCACCTCCCTTGCTGCGGGAACACACACACACATACACACACACACTCAGATGGGAGCCAGATCTAGAATATATCTCTGTGCATTCTTCTAGAACAAAACTGCCTCTGCCATGAGTCCCTGGATTCTAAAACCAAATAAAATGAGAAATCTAGGGAAAACTCGCCCCGTAGCTTCCTTGAGGCCCCCTCCCAAACAAAAAATTCACTCTTGGAGGGGAGACATGATTATTGAAGGGAAAATACAACTGAGCACTATACTTTGGCTGGCTTTGCGACTGGGGGAAAAACAAACAAGTGATTTGTCCCTTGAGCAGCTGTTTCGATAAAAATGGACAACACCAAGCTCCTATCACGGAGGTGGACTTGGGGAGGTCGCTGCTTTGGAGATTTCTGCTCTGTGAGAGAACCAACAAACACTAGAGGAAGTTCCTAGTGAGGGACTATGGATAGAGAAGACCGCCTCCGACAGGAATCAAGAAAAGAATCTGAAGAAGAGTCAATAGTGAGGCAGAATGAGAATCAGGGCAGGGTGGTTATTTTTGTGGTTCAGATGAGATACTTCAAGGAAACACTACCAAGAAGGAAAAATACAGACTCAAAGTCATGGTGCTAGCCTGGTAGTCATATAATTAGATAAGAGCCCAGGGACTCTAAATGGCGGTGCTATTTTCTGCTATACCCATTCAGCTCTAAAACATCAAGCAGGGACAAGATCAGAGGACGCAAGTGACCAGGCTGTTCATCCTCTAGCCCACCTTGAAGCTGGCCATCCTGCCGACTCACCTTGTGTTGCAACCAGAATGCCAAGACAAGCTGAAGGCTTCAGAAGGGAAATGCATGGTGGTAGCCGCTTCAGGGCACCCCTCCAATAGCTTGGCCACATGCCATGAGTGCGGCCTACTGACGGGGATGTTTCTCCTACAACAAGAAAGAGCCAGGAAGTCAGTGCTGAAATCACTTCCCAAGCGACTTCCGTTCCTACCCCCTCTTTCCATTCAATGAGCTAGATTATATTCCAAGGAGTTAACGTAGACATCTAAGTGTTCCCCTTGGCTTCATTACTCAAATTTCCTTCATCCAAGGGATGATTCCTGGAGACATAAAATGCCAGGTTCAGTGGAAATGTTTTGTTCATAAACATATCCAGGTATCGCTGGGCAATGGTGGTGCATGCCTTTAACCCCAGGACTCAGGAGGCAGAGGCAGGTGGATCTCTGTGAATTTGAGGACTAGCCTGGTCTACAGAGGGAGTTCCAGGTCAGCCAGGACTACATAGAGAAACCATGTCTTGAAACAAACCAAAGCAAACAAAAGCCTACCCAAGGATGTATACTAATTCTAAACACACAGTAGATGCTCAGTAATATTTGTGGATTGCACAAAAGCTGCTGACCAATGAATAGCAAGCCTACCTGCACTTGTCTTTAAGGGAAAATATCAATATGACCAATCTTCCCATTTTTCTCTGCAAAAGGACGTGAGTGGTTGAGATGCTTTAACAAGTCAGCGGTGGAGTGTGAATTGTTCAAATGTTCTTCATTAATTCTGTTAAGTATTTATTGTATGTTTACTATGTGTCTTCTAAAATACATGTATTTCTGGGGATATTGCCATGAGTCAAACACAGTCTATACTTTTGAGAGCTTGCTGACTCATGAATGAGACAGAACTAATTGAAACGAAGTACCATAAAATTGCCCTAAAGACTGAAGGTTAAGATGGACACAGGCACACATAAGGGAGATATTTGAACTTGCAGGCAAAGTCATGACAAAGAGTCCAACCAAACTCTTGTGAGAAGAAAAAGGACAAAGTGGTGAACAGGCTAAGGTGACAGAAGAGATTGGCTATTTAGCATGATGGGGGCAAATAACTTGAAACAGATCTGCGGCCAATGCCCTCAATATAACCAGAGGTTCTGTCTGGGGCTAAAGCCTACAACTGCAACTCTTACAGTGACTTGCTTATATACGGCCCATCCATGTCAACTATCACACTTCATATGATTAGATGCCACTCTTACGAATGGGAAAGCTAAGCCAGCTAGGACATGGTAGTACTAGGGAAGAAAGAGATGGCTGATGGGAGGGAGAATAGAAGCAGGAGAAGAAAGACATACAGATGAGAGAGCAGGAGAAGAAGTGGAGAAAGGGAGAGGGCACAGGAGGGCCAGGTAACACAAGAGACAAGGAGAGATGACAGAGGGATAAACAAATGTCAGAAGGAAAGACACTGAGAAAATTTGTAGGAATATACAGTGAGTGCCAGGAAGATGAATGTCGCTGAGGGACAAAATCCACTGAGTAGATAGTAGAAAGATATCTAGATGAGATATTATTTAATAATTTATTCATGGGCCCCTTATTGGGCACTGGAGGTGCAGATAAGGACTCCTGTTGTCAGAAAGCTTGCTATCCAGTGGGATAAATAAATTCTCTAACTCCCATGAGCAGGCAGAGTCAAGAAGGAGCCCTGTAGCCTCTCTGGAAATGCAAAAATTCTGAAGACTCAGACAGCACCAAGTCAAAGCCTAAAAAGGTAGTCCTGAGGAGCAGGCCTTGCTGGAGGCAAAAGACACAAACAAGGAAATATATGGGAAGAAGGGCGGAGAAAGTTACCTGTCAAACATCAGGACCATAGATCAGCAGCAGTGGCTAAAATTTGTGGTGAGGCCCCATCCTCATAATCACATTGTCCTATGATGTCCTATGATGGAACATTGAATACACAGCAAGAAGACTGAAGGTCCCAGAAGGCTCTTACTCTATGCTTGGTTGGAATATCATACCCAAAGCTGTGGTGTTGGGAGAACGCTGCTGTTACTCGCATCCAGCAGTCATGTGGTCAAGCATCTCCCAGTTGGAGGAATGTTTACTATTAGGTCTGTATACATCTATTATTGTGGCTGGTGCTTCTAAACACTGAGACTGTAGTTATAAAATAGGGAACCTATGCTATTTTGGGTCTTTCTTCCATATCCAGGATTTCTGAGTTTCTTCTGAGTCGAAAACATGAACTAGTAAGCATTGATTTTCCCAACTGCTTAATCCACTATTCGCTCTGTTAAGTCTTCTCTTATGAAGTATCTTTGGCTTGTCTGCCCGTTCCATCTATGTACCCTGCTTTCCCCCTTCTTTCTCTCTTTCCTTCCTCTCTCAATTTTGGTACCTTTATAGAACTACAATTCTCCTTCCAGAATCCACTGCTACTACCTTTCAATTCTAGTTATGCCCGCAATACTGTGTCCAAAGTATTATGTCCACCTGCCAAAGAGTATATTTCCACCCGTGGCTTTTTAGATCCTACCAGATTAAACAACAACTCAATTGGAGGGGCATTCTCTACCACTGAATTCCAATGCTTTACCCTGTCCTGCTTTAAATACAAACTGGATCAGATTTCAAAGCCTCCATAAGCTGTATTATACTAGAACTTCATCTTCTTGCTCTGATCACACTTTGTAGCTAGCTCTGGTTTTTCCCAACTCTCCTTTATTGTCATTCATTTTTTAGTAGAATTTATCCCAGTAATTGGACTGCTTTGATTTGAATCCCAACTCTATCACTTACTAATTTCTGTTGCTGTCAACAAGTGACAGCTTCTCAGAATTATCATTTCCATAGCAGTAAAAGGGGGATATTCCCAATGGTCATTAACTTGCACATCTTTGTGGACATGAGGTACTAAACAGTATACAAATGAACGGAAATAAGTCTGTACTGCCGATGTCATCTCCTCCGGGGAGTCTATCCCAAGGAATGTAGTCCTCATAATTTAGCCCATCATAACATGCTATTTTGTATTGCTTATCAACATTTCGTGTGTATTAGCTTTGTCCTACTAATTATATTAAATTAGTAAGTTATGCGAAGCAAAAGTCTAGCATTTTCTATGCTCCTGTTTTCTTGAGAAATGGAAGAGTAACTGGCTAGGTTATTATAGGAGTTAGAAGCAGCATCCTCACCTGCCTATGTTATGGTGGGTATTAGAAGAAGCCTCTCAAAGAATCTTGTAAAGAATCTAGTGCTTTACCAAGTGCTCAGTAAATCCCACTGAGTACAATATTGGCTATTAGCTCAAAGTTGTCCTTTTAAATGGCTCAGGGCGCTTCCAACTAAGTGTGCTCGAGAAACTTCTGTCAAGGTTCCGCTGCACTACTCCCCTGCCACACTTAAAACAGTAGCTGAAACAGGTCCAGCAGTCTCTAGGGTTTCTCCAGTAGAAAATAATCCCAGAGGAGACAGAGGAAGGGAGGGAGGGCTCTGGAGACACTAGAAAAAAAAGAAAGAAAGAAAGACTGGGAGGAAGGAAATCTCAGCAGAGAGCCAGATCAAGTTCCCACTTAACCCTCATTTAAGAAAGGGGAAAAAACAGCCCGCAAGCCTAGTACCTGGTCTGTTATCATTTGTGAACTGTCCTAGACTCGGCAACGCTTGTGTTCAAACCTTAGTTGTGTAGCCTTGCCCAAGGATTTTCTGAGGTGTTGAAATTTTAACTTGGGCAAGGGGGCTGGGCTGGAACCTAGGATCATGTACGCTAGGCAAGTAGTCTATACCACCAGAGCTTGGGTTGTGTAGTTTATAGTCTTTCTATGGAAAGTAGGATGATGACTATCTATTTCTCTTAAGCTATGGTCTGATATAAACGATGCAATCCATGTCTGAAATCGATTGGCATAGAGCTTAATACGGACATTCTAGAAACGTATGAAAAAAATAAAACAGGGTCCTCTACTGAACACTGAAGCTATGTCAGGTACTAAGTACCTCATATGTATTAGCTGATTTAATCCTCACTTCCATGTGGTGCTAAGACCTATTTATTATTACCTCCGCTTTATCAATAAAGAAAGAGAGATGCAGAAAACTTAAATTATTTTTCAGAAGCACATAGCTAGCAACAAGATCTATGGTTAGAATTAGGATCAAAACTCAGACCTGGGACTAGAAGGGTTCTTCGTCAGGTAAAGCATTTGTCGCACAAGCCAGAACCCACATAAAGGTCCACAGGAAGAGCCAAAGACACAGAGCTGTCTTCTGGTACACAAACGCTCACACACAAATAATAAATTTGAAGAAAAAACATGCTCAAAGGGCTCGGCCTCATAAAGTTTATATATCTAAGGCTTGACATAACCATACCTCAAGAAGCAGTAAGAAAAAGGAGGCCCTGGTGGTTCTAGACTTAAAACTATTTCCTCCAGTGGAGAAGGGGGAGGATGAGTGACAAGTAGTATAAGAGAAACCCAAGCATCAATTAGACAGCCTGACTTCAAAGTAGGGACGACTAGAACCCTCATCCCTTTTCCTAAAGCCGGGATAGGCACCAGGACTGCACATATTCTAGAACTCCATATCCTCAAATGCCTGGCTTAGGAAGAAAACCAAGACACCAAAGGAAGACAGCGGGAGGAGGCAAAAGTTGGAAACTGTGGTTGTACCTACCATGGAAGTTGCTCAGGGAGGAGAGGTGGCTTATGACAGATTGGCGTATGCAGCTACTTCAGTCCCAACCACTCCAGTGTCTTCTCTTAGCTGGGGACCATCAGCCCTCTACTTAAGACCCCCCTGGGCGTGAGGCAGGCAGCCCAAGATCCTAAATGCCATCCAAGGAGTTCAAGTGAACAGCAAGCGACAGCTATCAGCCTGCTTGGGTTTTTCTGTGGCCACAGCCTTAAGGAATGTCAGCCAGTGTCAAGGGCCGGATAAGACTAAAGACCCTGCTCCAGGAACCAGCCAGCGCCCTAGTGGCAAGGCAAAGGAGGAAAGGCAGTTCCAGCATCAACCCTCCCTTCCCCCCTACCCCCACCCCATTCCTGCCTCCTACCTCTTCGGTGCCCTGGCCCATCCCATCCCCAGCTCAGAGACCAATAAGGAAGCTGGGCCCCTGGCCACTGCTAGAACTCAGGAAAGGAGCAA